TACACTATGACTATGATGATTAAATAGTGTTGGTAGTAATGACTACGATGATTATTAGCTAGTGTTGTTTGGTGATGATATGATGTAAGAGTTTTTATATTAATATGATGATGATGAGTTATTATACCACAATAATCTATAACTTGATCACTTAGGATCTATCCACTTGAAACTAATCCGCGGTTATTTCACCTACTGATTTAATAACTCATTATAATGAAAAAACAATCTCTAAATTGCTACTATATGAAAACTTGTATAAAGGTGTATGAATACACATAAAATAAAAAAGAAATAGAATACAGAATAATAGTAGTAGCGCAGGTAGTGAGACGCGCTACTAGTAATTACTAGCAGCGCCTTTTGCAGGAAGCGCTACTACTAAGTAGATATAGTAGTAGCGCGGGTGAACAAACGCTACTACTAACCTTTAGCTGTAGCGCCTTAGCAGTAGCGCGGTTACTCGCGCTACTGCTAGGCCAAAAACCCATGCTACTGCTAGGCTTTTCCCTAGTAGTGGTAGCTTAGGTTTTTGGATCATCCAACGTCTTGGCTTCGACGGCGGCGACGACGATGCTGAATAAAGAAGGTCCGGATTGTTCAGTGGTGAGGCGATCGTCTCTATGGTTGGTGATGAATTTGAGAACTGGTCTGTTCAAGCGGGGATATCATGGCAGCAACGACATTCTTCTGGTGGACTTGTGTCCTTGCACTCGCCATTGCGATGGTGTCTGCTCCAGCGTGGCGCGGAGCTTGGGAGTTAGTCTAGGAGCAGATGCAGATTGTGGTTTGCATCGGTAACATCTGGAAGAATAAACATGTGTTGGGTTCTTCGTTGATGGATGGCAGACATGGTTCTGCATAGACGACATCTAGAAGAAAGAACATGTGTTGGGTTCGTCCTTGATGGATGGCAGATATGGTTTTATCATTCGACGTGTAGTCATGGTGGGGTGCCAGATATGGAGTTCGATGGCATATCTAGGGTATTGACCAATCTGATTCGTGCTGCGGCAATGGCTTCACCTTTTGGTGAGCCACCTTGAAGGTCTGCACTCAAGTTTATCGAACAAATAGAAGTACCACACAAATTTCCATCTTCAGTACCTACACGCAAAAGCAAATACTTGCACCCAACGCGAGCAAGAGAGTTGCCAATCCCCTTGGACTCGTTACTTGCAAAGATTAATTCTGATAGTGATTGAAAGATAAATAAATTGCAAAATAAAAGAAAAGTAAATAAATTACAGCAAGTACTTTTGGTTTTTATAATATGTAAAAGTAGACATGGGGGCATAGTTTTCATTAGAGGATTCTCTCTCGAACAGATAGCATACAGTGCGTAAACAAATTACTGTTGGTTAATTGGTAGAAAAGCGCATACTTATGCACTATTCGCGGCAATGATCATGTATATAAGCATCACGTCCTAAACAAGTAGACCAACTCATGTCTGCATCTACTATTATTACTCCACTAGTCGACCTCTATCCAACATACATCTATGTTATTAAGTTCATTACAAACGGAGTAACACCTTAAGTAAAGATGACATGATGTAGACAAAGTAAACCAATCAATATGAATAAACCCCGTCGTTTTATCTTTAATGGAAATAATACAAATATGTGTCTTGTCCCATACTATGTCACTGGGATATAGAACACCGCAAGATTGAACCCGTTAATTACAAAGCACCTCTCCCACTAAAGATACATCAGTCTAGTTGGCCAAACCAGACGGATAGATCAGAGCGAATTACAAAGCTATAACAATCATGCATAGTAAAGTTCAGAATATACTCAATTACTTTCAATGAATAACCTGATCATAAACCCACAATTCATCGGATCCCAATAAACACACCGCAAAAAAATATTACATCGGATAGAACTCCAAAAGATCGAGGAGAACATTGGATTGAAGATCAAAGAGAGAGAATAAACCATCAAGCTACTAGTTATAGACCCGTAGGTATGTGGTAAACTACTCATACATCATAGGAAGACAACAAGGATAATGTAGAAGCCCTCCGTGATCGATTCCCCCCTCTGGGAGAGTATCGGAAAAGGCCTCTAGATGGTATTGAAAAAGTGTCTCAGGTGGCTCTCTGGGTATTTCCCAATATTTAAGAATTTATAAAAGTGGAATTAGGTCAGACAAAGCCTCATGGGGCCCACAAGGTAACAGGGCGCACCCTGTTGCCTTACCGTCTCCCCGTTCGGCGTCTGATCTCCTCCTGAAGCTTCTAGGGTCTCTCTTGTCCAGAAAAAAAATCACCAAAAAGTTTCGTAGCGTTTGGACTCCGCTTGGTACTTATTTTCTGGAAACCAAAAAAACAAACAGAAAACAGCAACGGGCACTAGGCACTGGGTTAATAGGTTAGTCCCAAAAAATAATATAAAATAGCACAAAAAGACATATAAAGTATCCAAGATTAATAATATAATAGCATAAAATAATAAAAAAAATTATAGATACGTTTTGAGACGTATCAGCACCCCCAAGTTTATAAGCTTATCCTTCAGTAGGTAGAGAGTCGACATGTCGCCTTCCTCCGGTGGGTGAGAGCAGTGAAGGAGGAAGAGTTGATGGTGCTTGCTGCTCTGCGTACCAGATGCGAGTCGATGGGTGGCCTTCCTCCGGGGGCTGAGAGCGGTCCTCCACGATGGACATGGCGACGGGCGGGAGGAGACGGCGCCGCCGCCGTCCTCGAGCGAGGAGGCAGGGGTTTCACGCCTTAGCGAATGGGTCGTGCTCTAGTCCTTTTACTTTACATATAAGATTTGTCTAAAGTCAAAATTCATCGACTTTGATCAAATTTATATGACAAAATATCAACATCTATAATATTAAAGCTATACAATATGAACATTAAATTCATGGCGCATATAATGATATTGATTTTGTATTGTGAATATTGATATTTTTTTATAAAGTTGGTCAACCGACTCCAACGAGAGCTACATCTGACGAGGAGCCCAGAGCTACAACCGAATAGGTGAGGAGCTGCAACCTACTACGGCAGAAGATGCATCCGATGAGGGGCGGAGCTGCAAACCTAGGCTACATGGTGTTGGGACTGGTGGCCGATCATGCGACATCCATGGTCGACAGGGCTTGGAACCAGCCAACTGCGACGCTGTTACCGCGGCCGCCACGTGTTGGAACCAGCCAACCACGATGATACAACCATGTCTGCTACATGCTGGAACCGGCTGGGCAGCATAGCGTCGAGCCGTGAGCGACACAGCGAGGAGTGGCACAGTGGCATCCGATGCGGTGCTACTAGTGGCGAAATGGCAAGCTTCGAGTGGAGTGTGCATGGGGTGCTGCCACCGCTGAGATGAGCACGATGAGATTTCCTAGAACCATACGGGCGGCTCACATGAGAAGAGAGGGAATGACTCTGCACGGTGGGGGCGAATCTGACGGCTGTTGTCGGCCCGATCGAACGGTCCAGGAGGGGAGCAATTTGTGGTCGTGGCCAGTCGGCCGATGCCCAATAGTGCCCAAAATAACTGGTGGGACGAAAAAAAAATCGATGAAGGGTCGTGCGCGTGGAAGAAAGAAATGTAGGTTGGACAAAACATTCTACACGAAAATAAACGCCATTCATTTTTTAATCAAACTAAAATTCCTTTTTTGAAAGAAAGGGGATAACCCCAGCCTCTGCATCATATGATGCACACAGGCATATGACACACCATAGTAAGATAGAGATAGGGATAAAGCATAATCCAATTTGTCAGATTTAGTGGCACCGTCGCCATGCTCCTGTCGCCTAGGAGTAGGAAAAGGGAATGTGAATTTTTCTTCTTTTTTTTGACGAAAATGGGGAAAGTTTGTATTTTGCGGAAGGAAAATGGAGAGTTTAGGGTGCATTTGGTTGAAAGGGCGGCCAGTGATGGGTTGGGATCGTTCAGAAAATAGACATGTTTGATTATAAAGCACTTGAATGGTTTTACTTAAAAAAAGAAAATGCTCTGAAGATGCTGAACCACCACCCCAAGAAATCGGCCAAATCATATGGTCACCCATTACATGCATGATCATGTGAGCATGACCGATGATCCCATCTCAAATAATTTGCTCATCTTTTATATACATCCAAATACTTGAATTGAATGGTTCCATCCAGAAAAAACTGGACGGTCCAAACCCATTCATATGACACCTTCAACCAAATGCACAACATCGCCCCGCTCTGTTGCGAGGCATTTGGTGCGGCGGCGATACTCAATGTTCTTCCTCCGGAAGTTCCTTCCCTCGAGGATTCAGTGCTGAACTGCTGATTCATGTCGGATCGCATGCCCCTAGTTTGTCAAACTGATGTCGCTATGTTTTGCAACAAGGGAAATTGGAAAAGACGGAGAGATGGATCGCTGTTCATACGGTCCGCGATAGGGAGATGGATCGCTGTTCATGCGGTCCGAGATGGAGAGATGGATCGCTGTTCATTCGGTCCCTGATCGAAAGCCCATCATCTTCTCCACCCCGTGACCTAGATTTACTGCTAGGTATCTCCAAGACTCCAATCCTCGTCTTCCCACCTCACTCCCACTCCCACTCCCAGGGTCAGCCGCCACCCCCTGCTCCCCTTGTCTCTCTCTCTCACCGCAGCAGAGTAGATCCGGGAGCCACACCCTACGGGATGCTCGCCGGAAAGCTGGGAGGAGCACTAGGGATGGATCATCTGCTTGCTTAGTCGAGGAGCGATTCGTTTAGTTCATCACATCTTTCCATCCGCATCCTCACCCCCATCTGGCAGCAAGCAACAATTCTAGGTAAATCTGATTTACTTTCGCCTACTACCTATTCCCCCCGATCTACTAGATCAGCGACAAGTAATATGGATCCGAGGAAGTAGTTGATTTATTGTACTTGGAGTCAACTCGTATTTTTTTGCAAACTAATGATTCGTGCGTGCTCTCATGTTTCAAGCGAGACTAAGATAGTACTGTACTCATATATAACTTGCCCAAGTGCCCAGTTAATTAATGGATCCCCGAGGTGGCATAACACAAATCGAGCTGGAGTACATGGTACACGATGAAGATGCAGAGCCCATTGCCCTGCCACTGCCACTTTTGGAGAAAATCACAAATTATTTTTCTCACGAGTTGATAATTGGAAGAGGTGGCTTCGCGGTGGTTTATAAGGTATCTCGGGTGCTGCTGCTGCTGCAGGCAGTGCTTGATAATGGCATTGTCACTGTGAAGAGGCTGTTCGATACGCACATGCATGAGGAACAATTCCAGGGTGAGGTGGAATGTCTCATGAAGGTGAAGCACAAAAACATTGTACGATTTCTTGGATATTGCGCCGACACGCAAGGGAACATTTCAGACTACAAAGGGAAAATGGTTATGGCAGATGTGCAGCAGCGGTTGCTCTGCTTTGAATATCTACCTAAAGGAAGTCTTGATGGTTATATAACAGGTAGGCTTATGTTTCCATTCTAATTTTCTTCACACGATATTTATTTGGTTGGTTCAACCTACTGGAGTGTAGTATATCCGTATGTGACTTACATAATTCACCCATATGATATACTATATTGCATTCAAAAGTTAAGGAACTCAATTATGTCAAATATATACTGAACTAGATCCATTTTTTCATCTCTCCTGTTTAGATTCACCCGGAGAACTTAACTGGAGAAAGCGATACGATATAATAAAGGGTATCTGTGAAGGGTTAAATTATCCTCACCAGAACAATATTCTGCACTTGGATCTAACACCCGGAAATATATTATTGGATGAGGATATGATGCCGAAAATTACTGATTTCGGATTGTCAAGGTGTTTTGAGGAAGACCAAACAGGGGTCATTACTAAAAATGTGGCCGGAACAAGGTAAGCCTGCCAAAGCATATGGAAAGCTTAATTTTTTGACTTATTCAACTGTAGTGTAAATTTATATTGCACTTGCTCTGCATATTACTAATGGACCAGACTATATATGTTTTCAGGGGATATTTGGCGCCGGAATGCTATAACAAGGAAATCGTACTCGCGCACAAGTTTGACTTATATAGTCTTGGTGTTATAATGATAGAGATACTGACCGGAAAGAAGGGGTGTCAAGTTACTATTGAGAATGTATGAACAATTTAGCCACCATTCCAAGTCAAATCTTACAAATAATGATCCTTGGCATTAGCAAAGTCTTTATTTTAGAAAGGCTGGTCCATTTTTATAACGTGGTTGCATTTTCATAGGTACTTCAAATTTGGAATAATACGGTGTTGGATGCACTGCAGTGGGATCAAATACGAGTATGTGCGAAGATTGGGATGGAGTGCACAGAAGTCGATCCGGCAAAGAGACCAGCTAGTATGAAGCACATAATGGATTGGCTTGCTGAAATAGAATGTAGTACGCATGTAATCCCAGCAGGTGGGACAAGAGAGCTTCTTCTCGTTCACCCGTCCGCGCTTTGCTTCCCCTTTGAGCCCAACAAGGCTATCACATGCCCGCTGCAGCTAACAAATAACACCGATAAGCATGTTGCATTTAGGCTTATGGATAATAGCATGGAGTCTTCCTTCCTAAGGCTGCCATTGTATGACGTTATGCCACCTAACACACCTTACACTCTCATTGTGACAACACAAGAGAAAGAAGATCTACCACGAAAGTATATCATAGATGTGATCCTCCAAAGTGCTACATTAATATTGGGGGATGATGATCATATAAACACTTTCCGAAGCCAGCCAGACAAGTTTTTTCAAGAGACGGGGAATGATATACAGGTGGTGAAACGGAAAGCACTTTATACCTTGACACACATCGCAACGTCATTCTCTAAGGTAAAATATGATGAGCAAGCTCGGTGACATGCACAACACAGTTAGTTGTCAGCTGTTTTATGTATGTTTTTGCATACTCTTGTATTAACATTGAGATATTAAAAGAGAAAAGACAGTTTAGTCTTTCCACCAAGTATTTCCCCATGAAAATTGTTAATTGATGCATTTCATCGTCGCATTAGCAATGATATGTCCATCAAAATATACAAAGTAATCTTGCAAATTGCATCTTGAGGGAACATTGTTGGACTTCAATCTTTCCATCAAGTAATTAGGTGGGAAAGCAAAAATGAGCGTCAATCTCCGCCATTCTTTTTAGCACAATTAATATCTGCCATTCTTTTTCAACTTCTTTAGTAATCTATACAATGTTTTAAATAGCGGGCTATGGAAAATAGCGGCGAGCCTTCAAATCAGCTATAGCGGAGCTATAGCGGGCTAAAGCGGGCTATTTGTGAAGGCGACCATTTAGCGGCACCTTGCTGAAAAGGCTATAGCGGGCTATAGCAGAGCTATAGCCGGCTATTTGAAACTATGAATCTATATAATGGAAGATAGATAGATACAAGTTGGTCTCGCTTAAATTTGAAGGTTGATATATTTACTTTACCTTTTGCGTTGTTTTCACTTGTACTGTGTGGTGGTGGGACGGCGCATGCACACATGGTCATATATTTTGCAGCCAATTTTGTCCACAGTCAAGGTATAAATTCTTTATCTTCTCTATCTTGCTTACGATGTCTGTGCAGTAATACTTCTAGGTCGTTCCCGGCCAGATGTTAACAATAGCCTCTTTGACTCAGGTACACGTCTACATAGAAATGCATCTCAGTTGCTTGGACACAAACCGAGCCAAGCAGTGGTGAGTGCATTCTTTATACTTAGAAAATCCATATGCATGAACACACAGAAATCAAGATGAAGTGTTTCTTCTTGATCCGTTTACATTCTTGAATATACATGTGGCACCTCCACCTCAATATTTGTGGCAAGATCTTTGGAAATAAATATGATTGATATTTAATCATGGAAGAGGAACCAATGGCCTCTCGGGAATGGGCCTTTGATCAGTCCATAGTTTCATTCCGCATGGTTCCTAACTTGTGACTGAACACATGAATGAGATTTGCTTTTGTACGTGTAAGCAAGGGATGGTGCACATATATGGTTGGTGGTCAATTTGATTTTTGTTTTTGGGCAGGATAATAATAGGAGATGAAAATGGACACGTTGGCTTTTGGGACTATCCGACACAGGCATGTAGTAGTGTTGTTTTTTCTGATAAAGACTATTGATGCCTCTCAGGGGTATCCATGCTTTTGGTCACATTTGACTAACATGTTAATTATTTCTTTATCACCGCAGAAAAAAGTGGATGCGCTTAAAGTCTCAGCGAGTCGTGGTATGATTTCTGATTTCTCTTGCTACTTCTATTACTATTTTCAGCGAGCTGACTTATCCTGGTACTGCAGTTACGTGCATTAGATTCATTGAACGGAAGCAATGGATTGTTGCTGGGACAGAAGATGGGTATCTCCATGTGTACAGCTATGAAACAAGAATTCAGAAGATCACGAGTTTAAGAGTTGGTGCCATTGAGAATCTGGAGTCACGGGCTGCTCATACCCATCTGGCCATCCATCCAACCCAGCCATATTTGTTGTCGGTGTATGGTTTTAAAGTGAAACTTTGGGACTGGGACGTGGGCTGGGAGTGCATACAAACATTTGAGAATGAAGAGCTTATGACAATACTTCGAGTCGCATTTAACCCAAATGACACATTTGCGACTGCTTCGATGGATTGCACAGTGG